GGCAGTGACCGTGGGGGGTGGGAGACTGGACGGCAGTCACTCGGGGGTTCCATGGGGCCGCGTGTGACTTGCTCTGCTCAAGGTAGAGGTTGGATGTCTGCTACAATCTCGCTAGGTCACTGTACATGGCCACTCTAGGTAGCTGGGCCTCTTCCAGCTGAGTTCCAAGAGGGAGTGTCGTAGGAGCCAGTTCTGAAAAGGGAAACCCCTGCCCTGGTTTCTACTGGTCAAAAGTAAGTCCCAGGCCCAGCTCCAGGTCCGGGGAGAAGACAGGACACCAGGCAGCTGCCCATGGGAAGCCGGCTGTGATCAGATATCACATCATACCTGGGAAATGGGATGAGGGCAGACTTTCACTTCCTAATGTCTAATGTAGCAGTTACATGTTTAAATTCAGGAGACAAAAGAAAAATTGCTTGACTGTCCTGGCTCATCATTTGCTAACTGTGTGATTGCAAAGAAGTGACTTAGCCTCTCTGAGCCTCTGCTCTCAAATTAGCAACCTCATGGGGTGGTTGTAAAGACTAAACGCCCCATCCACAGTGATGGTTCCGTGAAAGTCAGCTAATAATAGTGTAAGATGCTGATAAAATGATTCCTTTTCTCAAGTATGTTTGACTTTTGTTGTTGTTGTTGTTTAAGATTCATTTGTGCATACAGAACTGGGGTACAGGCTATAGGTGCAGGGATGGTGAGAGGATTAGCCAGAGACAGAGTGGGGAGCAGAACAGGCAGACTGATGAAGTGTACGGCTGAGGGGCTCCGTGAGGAGACAGAAGAGGTCTGCTGCACCATGTGGGTCACCTCCGGGGCGGAGGATTGAACTAGTGTTGAAGCAGCTGCTGCTCACTTCTTACTGCTGTGTTTTAACCCATTGCACCACCAGGAAGGGCCCATGGTTTACTTTTGTAATTGAAAAATCCATTGTCAAAGCCCCAAAAGGAAGCAAGGAAGCGTAGTAGAACTTAAGAGATGTAAACTCAGAAGTCCCAAGTGATGTTCTGTTCCTGTTGCCTTCCAGTTCACTCTCCAGGACAAGTGCAGGGGCTTCTTGTTTCTCTCAGATGCAGAGACCACCTCAGGAACACTGGACCTTTTCCCTCTGCACCCTGAGACCATCAGTGACCGGACCCCTTAACCCAAACTGTGCTGTTCTTTCAAGCGACTCCCCAAATCCTGTCAAGTTTGACCACAAGCAGACACAAAGTGCAGGAAATGAGTTCCCCTGAGAATATAACCTAGAAGCTTTGCAATCAGAAAACATGGGCTTTATGCTATCAAGAGCTGACGCCTGTCCAATACCACCACTAAGAAAGGCTTTGCTCTTTAGACACCTTGACGTGGTGATGGTGAAGTTCACTGGGGCTTGCTCAGATGGCTTTCCGAACAACAGGGTCTTGGGCTAGTTAGTTTGATGGGAATTTCAGAGGGTGATGACTTGGATTTTGTCTATTCACCCACTATAAACACACACAGACCCTGCCAACAAATACTATCCTTTGTCTTCAGAGAAAAATGCGCCGCCACGGAAATGAAGGGTCTTTTTGAAGCAAAGAATTATAGTAAATGTCAAACCATCAAGTTGAAAACTCCAGCTTCCTCTCACTTTTTCAGAAAATCAATACACAGGCTTGGCGGCAGTCCTTTCTGGGTCTCTGGCTCACACCTCCCTCTCAGGGCAGGGATCCCCTAAACGTTCCTGATGCTGCCTTCAGGGGAGATCTATCCATGTGAAAGAAAGGGGAAACGCAGTGTCTGCAGGGTTGTTTCTCAAGAGAGGCAATTACTAGGAGCTTGAGGAAATGTCAGATATGAATACCTAGCAATTTCCTTTGCCGTTGATGGCTTGCCTGCCTTAAAGCATTAATTAGATGGGGCTGGTATATTTTTAAAGAATTTGGATAGAGAAAAAATTTTAGTGCTACTCTAAATGCAATTCACCTGGGAAGTAAGAGAATGTGCTACAGAGTGACTCTCTGCTGAACACTTAGGACAGGTTTTCTGAGGATACCCCAGAATTTATCCATTCCTGCCTCCTAGCAGGCTGGGGGAGGGACGGGGGAAGGAGAGGCTGTGGGCATTATTAATGAATAGACAAAAGAAGTTCTGAGAAATGACAACACTTTTCTACACCTTAGGAACAGGAATTACTTTCCTGCAGCTGAGAGCACTTTCCTGTGATAAAAAATAAACCAAACAGAACTTAATAGAATGGAAAATCAGGGAGAGCTAGATGAGCCCCCCAACTTACTCAGTATGTGACTTTGGGCAAAACATACAAATCCCTGCCTCAGTTTCCCGCCCTGGGGATAAGAGAACTGTCCAGACCCCTCAGTTCCACGAATCCCTAGCTCAGTCCACCCAGGGCCTTTGCCATTGGTGCTGCTCAGCGTTCTTTACCCATAGAGCTTTTCCTGGCATTTTCTCCTGTCCTTAAATGAACTCAGATGTCACATTCCAACCTAAAACAACTGACATCCCTGTCAATTTGTGTCATCCCTTGGTTTTATTCTGTATGGTATCCTGGTATCCCTGTCTGAGATTCATTTATGCTTATTTACTTCTCCCCCCCCCATTTATGAATCTGTGATGGCAGGGACCTCATTACTGTTTGCCCCTGCATGTCCAGCACCTCACGCAGAGCCCGGATGGAGGCATTACTGCGTGTTGAGTGGACACTCACTCAACAGCTCACATTCATGACCCAAGCCACAGGCCTTTTCTAACCACTTTATAAGAATGCTCATTTAACATTCAGAACAACCTTATGAGCTACTGTTCTTATTAACCATTTTATAAAAAAGGAAACTGAGGTGCAGAGGAATCAAATGAATTTCCCCAGTCAAAGGGCCACGCAAGAGTGGAGCCAGGGCAGAGAGCCCAGCAGCCTCGGACCCCAGGCCCGTCTCACTGGGCTCTGGTGCTCCCGGCTCCTTGGGAAGGCGTCTAGCCTGACTGTACCATGTGAGTTCTGTGAAGCCCTGACTGTGTGATTAGGTCAGCGTGGCTAGACCTGTGACCCACATCTCTTCCAAAACCTTTGGCTTCATTCTAGAGCTGGTCGCCAGCCCCACTTTCATCACTGTTTTCACTTGGCTCTTGAATCCCCAGCCCCTTGCATGTGGTTTGAGTGGAGACTCCGCAACAAGGTGGTTCAATTTGCATCCACCTGGGTTCCTCGGAAATACAACTTTGAGTGGGAAAAAAGGCAGGATGTAGAATGGCAGGTTCTGGAGCACAGGCAGCCAGAACACTCACACCTGGCCTTGAAGACCAGCCTGAGCTGCCTCTGGAGGAGGAGGGAAGGGTAGAGGGACTCGACCACCACAAGGAGGACTTCACCGCTTCACCACTTACTGCCCTTCCTTTTTCTAAAAGAACTGAAGCCAATAATGGCCACATTTTAAAATGTGTTTAATCAGAGTGATTGTAAAGAGGGAAGGCTGTCCTGAACGAACTTTACAGGTGCAGGTTTCATGGACTCCACCCCCACCCCAGATACTGGAACTACAGATCCCATCAATACCAAAGAGAAGCACGCTGGGATGTGACGGTGGAGCTGAGCAATGCAGTTGGGATATAAAACCAGACATGTGGGCTTCGGGGGTCTCTGGACCTGTGGCTGGTGGTTTATCTCTTGGCTCTTGGCTCTTACTGTTTTTCAGAGTGTTGTTGATGTTCCAAGTCAGCAGAACTGGTAGATATCATTAATTAACCTATTCTCTCTCTTTCCCTGAGTTATTCATTTCCCTTTTCCCTTGTAAATAAATGCATTATTAACCTGTGTGTGGGAGTGTGTGTGTGCCTGCAGTTGAATCTTAAGCGCACCAGTGAGGACCCACAGTCAGGCTACCCAGTTAGGTTACCCTGCAACATGACTGTACCAGGGTGTGTACAAGACATGTTTACAGGCAAACTAGTGTACGACTGGATGTGTTTTTAAAGGCTGGAGAGAAGGAGACAGAGGTGAATGCCCTTGGCATTGACCTGCAGATAAGGACATAAAGGGTCCCTCTGAGACCCCTGCTAGCCAAGTAGGATTGAAAATGCTCAAATTTTAGGGTTGACTGTGGCAGTTAACAAGAATACATGTATAAGGTGACTTCCAGGTATTATCCAGTTAAAGTCAGTTTAGAGCGAGTCCTTAATGACTTTTCCAATGTGTCTTATTCAGACCCACCTTGGCTTTAAGGACTGAGCAGAAATGATGTGGACACATTTGCAAAACAAATCCCACTCCAAGAAAATAACATCTTGCTACTATGTTCAAGAACTACACACACACCTGGGATGGAGGCACAGACAAGCACCATGACATGGTCTCTGTGATTGCCTGGGGGTGGGGGGTGGCCTTGGTGGTCAGAGAACAAGAGCAGGAAGGAAATCTCCTTTGCTATTATTTGTGATTACGTGCCATGTCTCTAGATGGCCTCCTCTAAAAATAAATCTATCTTATTTTAAAATTAACTGAAGGTCGTGCTCTTCTCCCCTCTTTCAATTCTAAATCCACTTTAAAAGGGATGGTCCTAAAACACAACTTCTAAAAGGGTTTCAAGAGGTCCTCTAGTTAGCATCCTATGTGAACAGGGAAGCAGGAAAAACCACCCCAGGACATAGTCTTCCTGTAGTTAGGCAAAAGAAACAGTGTGGGGATTAGGATTGGGGTATCTAGGCTGGCTCCTGTCATCATGATTTACTCTGTGCTTCTGAGTGAGTTCCTTGAGCTCTGTGAGCCCCATGTCATTTCTGAAGAGAGAACAGTGCCACCACGCTCTCCTATGACTAAGTGGGAACAAACAAATGACGGGGTGAGCATAAAGCTTTGCCCCAGTAGCATCCAGATGTATGAGATACACTCGTATGCTAAGACAGCTCCTCAAAAGCACTGTTTGCATGCCTTTGACCTCCATCTAAGGACCCCATGAACATCTACCGAGCACCCTCATGGCCAAAAAAGACAACTTCCTTCAGAGATAAACCAGATTCTCTTCTTTCCACAGCAAATATCCTGACGGTGATCATCCTCTCTCAGCTGGTGGCTAGAAGGCAGAAGTCCTCCTACAACTATCTCCTGGCCCTTGCTGCTGCTGACATCCTGGTCCTCTTCTTCATTGTGTTCGTGGACTTCCTATTGGAAGATTTCATCTTGAACATGCAGATTCCTCAGGTGCCCGACAAGATCATAGAAGTGCTGGAATTCTCGTCCATCCACACCTCCATTTGGATTACTGTCCCGTTGACCATCGACCGCTACATCGCAGTGTGCCATCCACTCAAGTACCACACGGTCTCCTACCCCGCCCGCACCAGGAAAGTCATCGTGAGTGTCTACGTCACCTGCTTCCTGACCAGCATCCCTTACTACTGGTGGCCCAACATCTGGACTGAGGATTACAGCAGCACCTCCATCCATCATGTGCTCATCTGGATTCACTGCTTCACTGTGTATTTGGTGCCCTGCTCCATCTTCTTCATCTTGAACTCAATCATCGTGTACAAGCTCAGGAGGAAGAGTAACTTCCGCCTCCGCGGTTACTCCACAGGGAAAACCACCGCCATCTTGTTCACCATTACCTCCATCTTTGCCACTCTGTGGGCTCCCCGCATCATCATGATTCTCTACCACCTGTACGGGGCACCCATCCAGAACCGCTGGCTGGTGCACATCTTGTCCGACATTGCCAACATGCTGGCCCTTCTGAACACGGCCATCAATTTCTTCCTCTACTGTTTCATCAGCAAGCGGTTCCGCACCATGGCAGCCGCCACCCTCAAGGCCTTCTTCAAGTGCCAGAAGCAACCCGTACAGTTCTACACCAACCATAACTTTTCCATAACGAGTAGCCCCTGGATCTCGCCAGCCAACTCGCACTGTATCAAGATGCTGGTGTACCAATATGACAAAAATGGAAAGCCTATAAAAGTGTCCCCGTGACCTCGTAGGTTTGGCACCCCGTGCCTCTGAGTGATCCATTTCCAGATGGGAGGTGGCCCGTCCTGGGGCTGAACCGCTCTTCTTAAGAGTGCTCACCCGATTTCCTGTCTCCACAGACTGAGCGCCTCTCAGACTGGTCGATGAGAAAAGGTGCAAGCGAAGAACAAAAAGCATGAATCGTGTCTTCACTTGTGCATTTATTTTCACCAAGTCACACCGGCCGCAAAAGTTCCTACTGGTTTGAAAACGCCGCTGGGGTTGTGCCACCATGGCCCACATGGCCAGGAAGGGTACACGGTAGAGAGACAGTCTAGGATGTGGCCTGGGCACCCTCCCCCATCACTGGGAACGCTCATTTCTGTGATGTACCAAGCCACAGTAGCTCGTAGCTGAGCCCACAGTCTTCTTCCAGATCTGAGATCATTCATCGCTTCCCTGTGCTGCCCCCAGCAGCTAACACTGCTAACCAGTTTTGCAAGGTGCCCGCGGTTGCAGAGAGGCATGGCACCTTTAGACAACGACTGGCACTGTGGGGGCGGAGAAGTATGGCATTCCATCGAAACTTAGACCGAGCATCTACAGAAAGGCTCCAAACCAACATCGCCATAACCCTCAGGCCTGGAGTCTAAGAGGCAGTCTCTGTCATTTATGTATAGATTTTAATCTAGCTCCTCCACAACAAAGACCCTGCCTGGTGCATGGGGGGGAAAGGAGGAATTCTTGAGCCCAGAAAAACAAAAAAATAAGCCCACTCTTGCCATCGTTTCAACCCACCCACTTGTCTGCTGTGTACGATCCCTTCACTCAAATTAGCCTCTTGAGCTTCTTGAGCTTCCTGGAGAAGCCTTTGATGTGGTCAGTTGCCAATCCTGCCTCCTTGCTTGCTGAAAGCTTCGCCGATTTGTTTTGCTGGAGGTGACTTCCAAACTGGATTTAATTTTTGAGGGTCAGGAACTGTGGGTCTCTGGGCATGACAGGAGATGTCTGCAGCTCTGTGCCCATCCCGCTGACATTGCCCTTCGACCACAAATGCAGATACAATTAGCAGGGAGAAGTGCCCACTTCTGCTAGTTTGCCCTTTGATGCACGTGGCTCAGAGGGTGGTGCCAGTTTTCAGTGAAGCTATTTAATCCAGATCCTTTGCAAACTTGTAAAGTAAGAATCTTGCCTGTTCCAGCCAAGAATAATACTGGGGTGAAATGAGCAGGGGCTGCCTTGGGAATTAACACTCACAACATGCACATGCACACACATATCTGATTATATCAGGCTTCTGAGGACTCAGTATTTTGAAGGAGAAGTCCCAGGGTTCCCCTTACCCCTTTTTTGGAAAAAAAAAAAAAAAAACTTCTCTCCCAGGTCCCCAGTATTTGAAGTTATCTCCATTCTGGAAGATATCTCCCAATGTGACTTCAGCATCGGCTGATATTTTTGATGACCAAGCAAAAAGCAGACAATCCCCCTAGAATACTTAACTCCTCAGTCTAGATTGTCACTGTATTTTTGTCCCTAAATTGGAAGACGTGTCTAATCTTTTTGAGGGAATTTGCAGTAAATGAGTGTGTTTAGAAAAGGCCCGAATGTAACACAATCTCTAAACTTCAGTCATCTCCCTCACTGCTAATTGAATATAATTTTAGGTCATCTTAGTCCTGATGATCCTAATTCCTACCCCTTTTTAGATGATTGCAGTTGCAGTAGAGTCTCATCTTACCCAAAGATTAAAATCTAAAGTCAGCTCAACAACAACAACAAAATCCAGTAGAAGCAAATCATCACTGCAAAGTTCTCAGGAAGGAGTGTTGGTACCATAGTCTATCCTTAGAAAAACCTAACACAACTATTTTTCTCCAGCCCTGGAACAGGCTGCTGTGTCTTGGGTTGAGGGCAAGATATAGTTGGCTTCTTTAAGGGGCCCCGCCATATGGTGGCATTGGTACAGCACATTGCCCCTTCACTTAGGTTCCTGGAAGTTGATTGATGGAGGGACCAGCAGACACGCATCTCCCATGAGGTGTGCCCCCCACCATGGCACCTGCACAGAGAGTGGAATGACGGCAGGGCCTCCCCCTTTCTCGGGTTGCCTTTCTCTCTTTGTTTCTTTTGCCAAGCACGTGCAGTTGAATAGTGTTCATTCAATGTGTGTACCACGCGATTCCACCACACCCCCTTCTGGATGAACATTGACCAAAGGCTACCTACACCGAATATATAGATATATATTTATTTATTTATTTTCTAAATGCATAGCTCTTAAAAATGCTAGTTTGAGCTATATGTGAATGAGTCACAGTGCAATATCCATAAAGATTAAGCAAGTCCTTCGTGCGAATGTAAGATGGAAAACATGGAGTGGATTCCAGTGGTCTCTGTTCTACGTTTTCAATGGTGATGTAAAAATTGTTTAAAAAGAAAAAAAACTGGGTGTGCATTTGAAATGTTTTACTCACACTCTCCTTTATTATTTCTCTTATCAGTAGAGACTCTCCCACGTGGTGTTCTGACCTCTTTTCCTTCTGAGTGTATTTTCTATTTTGACAAATAATATTTAAAAGTGGTCTGACTCTTGACGGCCTTCCAGGGAATTGTTATCTTCTGGTGAAAATGTATATGAATGCCCAGTAGGTTAGGTGCACACATACCTCCTAACCTTTGCAGAGTTTATTTCAGATCACCGAGAGACTTAATTTATTATTATTTATAGTAATAATTATGGGCATCATAATTTTTCTTAAAATTTCCAGTTTTTTTCTTTCAGGCCAGTTTTGGAAATCAAACCTTGACTTTTGAAGTGTGTCGTGTCAACAGCTGCTGCTGGTGGTGCTTCTGCCACCACCTGGCCTAGGACTTGTGTGATGCCTCTCGTGTAACTGTGTCCTTGGCTGAGCATGCAGTGATGTTACGCCTGTACATGCGGGGTCTATTGAGAAACTCAAGGACTGGACAGTCTCGTGGAAAAGACACTGAGGCTGACAGCCAACCAGGAAAAGACTGACTGAAAAGGCATGAGTTTCCATTTTGCAAACAGCCTGCAAATGCAAAAAGATGACATTGCACAGTTACTGCCTGGCCCAGCCTAAAGGTCCTTTCTGGAGTGAATAAAAGACTAATGTCAGCTATTCCAGCTCAAAGAATGGAATAGAATGTAACCATAGAAAATTAGTAAATGTTCATATTTTCTTAATTAGATACTATATTGTGTTTGGACTTGTTTGTATTATAATAAATTCTAATATGGTGCACACTAAGTGTGTGGTATTTACCTATAGGCTCAAGCAATCACAGAAGTCTTGACAGAAAACTAAATGAGTCTCTTCTTCTACTTTTTGTTGATGCTAAAAGGGAGAGATCCAAGTCTCAGCTGTCTCCTCACTCAGATGTATTTCAGAAGCTAAGGCCACTGAACTCTGCTACCTATGATGAAAAGTTAGGTGGCTGTGCATAAACCTGAAATCTCTCCTAACCACACTCTCTGTACATCCTTGAGAAAGTGATAGCGATAGGGGGAAATCTAACATTAAAGCTCAGACTTGTATAGCAGTCACGGACCCTCCCCCAGCTCTGTGTTTATAATGTGTGACCTTGTATAAGTCTTTAAAGATTTGAGTAACTGTCCTCTTGTAGAAAATGGTATGAAAGTTCATTTTTCCCCCCGTGGCCTGAAAGGTGAGTAGATTTTATGACCAGTAAACCAAGCTTTGGAGTCAGTTATGGGCTCTAACTTTGCACATTCTCTGTGACCTTGGGTGACACTGACAACTTTCAATTTCTTCTCCATAAACTAGGCCAGATCCAAAGAAGAGAACCCAGATCACCAAACATTCCTTTCCTTCCACGCTACATCACCACCTTCTCTGCAAGATTCTGACTCACCACTCTCCACCATTAAGATCACATTATAGTGGTGTCCTTTATGGAGTTGGGTATACTGCGTCGTTTTCTAAATCTTCAATCAAACCCAGGTCATCCAAGCATGAGCTATATTATCACAGCATCATAATTAAAATACTTGGTTTGACCTTTCCCGGTGAGGTAGGATTTTTTTTTAAGTGACTATCTGGAATCCTAACCACAGCTCTCAAACTTGGTGTGCATTTCCCACACAAACCACCATCAATTCTGACAGCCACCCACAAACTATTGTCACAATCTATCTTTGCATCACCTTGGAGAATGAAATTAACTTACAAGCTAAGAAGGAAGTAGAGCCATGCAAAGAAATGGCTGAGATGGTCGCAAACAAGCTACTAGGCATGGCCACAGCATCCTCATTAATTTTGTTCACAACGCAGGGAGGGAGGATAAAAGTGACTTGATGGAGGTTGAAGTGTTAAATAATAATCCTTTTATTAGCGTACTCAGCTTAAATGTGGTGGCTCAGACTCTATGGAGGGTGTGCAATTAATGCACGTACTTGCCAGACACAACAAGGGGAATCAGCAGCTCTTGTCTACTGGTAAATAGACACTGAATTTCCTGGGCTTATTGGGAGAATGTGTCAATGTCACACCAGAAAAAGAAAACTTTTCTGATTAAGAAGGAGCAAAAGCAGGTTCACAGGGGAGAGCGATGCCTCTTCATCAGCTCTGTGGATCTTTGTTACCTAGTGAATGGCAGTAACATAATATTTTTCTCCACTAGAGCTAGATCAAGACAGAGTGAGAAGTAAACTGCAGTTAGAAGGATCCAGATCAAACCCAAAGAAGAAATCTTCATCGTGATGTCTATTAACTCCACAAATAGTTTTTCAAGGGAGTTTTTAGAAGGTGTATCTCTGGTTGTATTCCCAATATGTCAGCCACAGTGTGGGAGGGAAGAAGCTCTCACTCAGATGGTTTCAGTGAAAACACTTGCAGGAAGGCAATTGTTTTAAAGGGCCAGCACCTCAGCAGCAGAAAGACCAGGAGTTGAAATCTGTGTGAAAGCATTGCAGAACAACACCATTGAAAATATGACTGAGGATTGTGCAGGAACATTTTCAAAAGTATACACCATTTTGTCTTACCTGCAAGTAAAATGTCTGAGCAAGATTAAAGAACCAACAAGAATTATTGAGATTCTTAAGGAGTAGAAAAAATAGGAAACACAGCTAGGAAATAAATAATAGTAAGTGACAAAGGTCAGGCAAAAACATTAGCTAAGTCAGAGAAGGAGTTTTGTGTTGGAATTGGAACCCAAATTAAAAGGAAACCAGACAGTGAGAAGTCCCGTCATAGGGATCAGTAAACAGGCTTGAAAGGGGGTTGATTTGAGTGGAACAAAATTAAGACGAGCATTGTTGAAGCCTAGTGCTCCAGGGGAAAGTGGAGTAGAACAAAGAAGGGAGGGGTGGGCAGGAGCAAAAATCAGGTAGGGGAATAGAGCCTGGCTGGGAACTTGGTTAGGAAGTCACTGGGGGGAGAGGGGGTTAATTGAGAAATTGATGTGATCTGATTCCCTCACTGAGTTATCACAACAGTTGAAAGAGATTGCTGTTATTGCCATTTTTGAGATTTAAATACTGAGTCCCACAGGGAGTAAGGCAGTAAGGCAAGCATGTTCAAGGCCACAGTGAGTGATTAACTATCATTTGGTATGTAAGCCCAGTCCTGTTTGGTTCCAAGAGCTACTTCACCAGGCGCGACTGACATGTTGTTCTTGGCATTCGACACTCTCTTCTGAATTAGCAGCTCATCCCCACTAGCTTTTTCATCATCCAAAGTTGATATTTAGGCTAAAGTCACCCTCTAATTCCTTTAATGAAGAGTCAGAAAACATCATGTAATAATATCAGGGTTCTAGTTCATGGCTGATGAAACTGGCAGAGTAGAGGATCCACCCCCAAAGAGTAGGTTGAATAATACAGACTACACTGGCAGGTAAGACAAAGAGCTATGTGCTTTTTAAAACTTGCTTGCACAACCCTCAATGGTATTTCCAGAGTAATTGTTTCAACAGATATTGTTTGTACACAGATAACAGCTCTTGGTCCTTCTCCAACCTATGTACTGCCCCTTTAAAACAATTGTTTGTGCTCTCCAAGGTGCTGAAACCATTTGGCCACAACTCATTGGAGCAGGAAAGTCAATATCTGAAGAAAATGTTATGTTTGCAAATAGAGATTTGATCTCCACTCCTCCATTAAAAAAAAAAAGAGAGAGAATCTAGATGAAATTTTTTAGCTTAGAAAATATTGAACGTAGTATTTCCTAGAGAAACAGGGTCCAGATATCAGCAGCACTGCACCAGCACCATTTGTAAGAAATGCAGCGCAGATCCCAACCCAACCTGCTGAGGCAGAATATGAATTTTATTAATTTCCCAGATAATTCAAATATACATTAAAGTTTGAGGTTCACTGTACTTAAAAACGCTGATGCTATACCAGTTTTTAAAATCCTAATCACCAAGATGAAATCTAGACAGCAGTATTTTTAAAATTCTTTTTTTTAAAGATTTATTTATTTATGCATACAGAACTGGGGTAAAGGCCAGAGGTGCAGGGGCGGTGAGAGTATTCACCAGAGACAGATTGGGGAGCAGAACAGGCAGACTGATGAAGTACACTGATGGGGGGAGCAGCCGACGGGCCAGGAGAGGTCTGCCGCACCATGTGGGTCATCTCCAGGGGTGGGGATTGAACTCATGCTGAAGTGGCTTTAGCTTCTTAGTGCTGTGATTTAATCTTCTGTGCCACCAGGGAAGGCCCTAAAATTCTTTTGATGGCAAAAATGTGTAGCCAAAAAGGAGAAACACTGAGTTTTATCACAGAAAACTTTTTATCATTAACATAAATGAAAACCCAGTGTATCTGTTATATATAGATAGGATCATTTTTTAATACCAGAGATTGTCAGCAATTTTTTATACAGTTATCTGAAACTGATACCAATTCTCTCTTGGATAAAAAGCAAAAGATAGGTGTTAAGGATTTACTATTACTATATTGAGACTTTCTCCTTAACCTAATTAGAACGGATAGCAAATTAGAAAGGGAAAGTTCTTTTATCCACAATGCACTTTAATGTTACCCAAACCAAACCTCTGTTATCCAGAGTCACTTACACACTATTTGTGTGACAAGTTTTATATAATGGGAAACACTGATCTACTAAGTAAGAAGCTTCAGCAACTTCTTTAGTTTATTGATTCCCAAACTAAGCTGTGATTTAGACTCACTTAGAGTTTTAGTTTTTGTTGTTTTTTTCTATTTAATCTATGTCCAACTTTAACCCCAGAAGAATTAAATCAGAGCCTCTGGGAACGGGTCCAAGGGAACATAATTTTCTATAACATTCCCAGTGATTCAGAAACACAGCCACATGGAAAACATCTTATCTACCTAATCTTACACTTAGCTGAACCACGTGCAAGAATCAGAAGTGAAGAACTAGGAAATTACAATATAACCTTCCCAAATAGCTTGGCCTTTGACCACTTCCCTAATACAGACTCTCCACAACTGAGCCTTCATGGTGTGTATACTTCTCACTATTGAGGACTGAGGGGCCTGAAAATCATACCTTTGGATCCTATATTTCTGGGTTTCGATTGAGTTGAAAAATGGATTCAAGAAATGGACTGGTGGCCATCAATTACCATCCCTATTACTGGATGGATGGGTTAGAGGAAGTCTGTTGAACCCAAAGCCAATGGTCTTCTTATTCAGTCAGTTTGGATCTTGGCTCAAACACCATAAATGAGCCTGAAATCCCATAAAACATAGCCACTCAGACAATGACCAGCACAATTTCGGCATCCTGAATCCTAGAGAGGATAATGAGATGCATGTCTAGATTTCTAAGAAACAGAAGAGGGCTTTTCACACCTGTTGTGTTGAGTCCCTCAGTCCTACATATCAGTCAAGGACTTCCTTCTTCATTGGGGATGGAGTGAAAGATGGAGCAATGTTTCTTCCAAATACTTTTAAGAGTAACATCAAGAAATTTCTAAGTGATAGGCTGAAATATAACTACTGGAAAGAGAGATGGTTCCCCTATTTTGCTTCCATATAAACTGGGAATTTCACAAATGTGGCTTGGGGAATTTCACAGTCCACAAGGAGACAGACAGTCATGTCTGCTATGCTGTTGGAACACTTAGAGAAAAGGCAAGAAGAGATCCTCCCGCTCATCCTGCTGTCTTGTTGTCCTCAAAGTATAACTATTAGGTTCCTCAAAGGCATAATTCCGTTGTCAAGATCAGATTTTCTGAGCCCTGGTCTACATATCACTCCTGAAATCTGG